TCTAAAAACATCAGTCTGTTGAATTATAAGACTGTGCTACTATGACCTGTGTACTGTGATGTGTGTTAGAATGAATCTAGCAACTCAGGAAATACATTTTGTTTATTGGATAATGAAGTTATAAACAAGCAATGAACAAAGTGAACAAGAACAAAATGAAGTTTACTGTCAAATAAGCAAAATTGAGCCATGTCAGTGGGATATGTCAAAATTACATTTGAACCCTTTCCTACCATGAACTGATTCCCCTTTTTATTCTGTCATTCTTGCTTTCATCTCACCAACCACCTATCATTCAAACCCAGGCATGACCAGTAATCAAAATCTCGCTGCATTCAAACTATGTAAGAAGTTAGTTCTTGGAATCTCAGGATCTTGGGTTAAAACCTAAATTTTACCACTTCTAGTTCAGTGACATTGGTTGGAAAAGATGAGAAGCTGCTTTAACATCATTGAGTTCTGGGTAAGTCCTGCATTATAAAACTGGGAAACTCAAAGCTCACTTTGTCATATAATGACAGTTCACTAAACAATGTGGGAAGCACATTGGATACTCAAGTTCCCTCCAATTCTGTTTGAATATTATGTGACTACAGTTAACCAGTGTTATAACATCAGAGACTTCCACAATAAGATTTACTGGATTTTGTCTTACTAGAACAACTTAATAGTCTTAAACGTAGGAGATATTATTGAACTGAAAAAATTAAAGTGGTAAGGTATATTTAAACCCCATGAAAAGCAGTGCCTGACATGCAGAGTTCATATATATATATATATATATATATATATATATATATATGTGTGTGTGTGTGTGTGTGTGTGTGTATGTATATATATTTTTTCCCACATACATATTCATATGTTGCAGAGTTGCAACATATATACATATGTAATTCCACATACATATCCATATATGTGATAGGCAGCTATATGTGTATGATGGTGGTGACTTGTGACAAATTTATGTTGTTTTCTGACTTTTAGTTATTATTATGCTTTTATTATGATTTTTCTTACATTGCAATATTACATTAATTCTTTTCTTAATAATTTTTAAATTAACTCATACTTTACTTAAATAAATATGAAAATTAAACTGTATAATCACTGCAAGTGAGAAAGATTTGTGCCAATCATCATAAATAGAAAGGAACAAAAATTATAAACACTCAAACATTTAAAATAACCAAATGTCTGTATAATATATAAAATTATCTTATGTATTATATTTTGGGAAATACTGGCAGAAGAAATTACGGTATAGAAGTTAATCAGAATTTGCAATAATCAGTTTAAGTTAAATTACTTCAACTTATCTTAGTATAGGTTCAATGCTCAGATTTAAATGTTACAGTTATATGAAGATATAAGTATTAAACTATGTATTTTAAAAATTATTTTCATGTCTTCTGTACTCAGCCCCAATACCATTATTAAAGTAGCAATAAGGTGTTATATGTGGTGCAAATGGTAAAGATTTTAGAGAGAAAGTGCTGAATTTTAATTATGACTTTTAAGCTCTTAAACTGAGTGGGCACCATCACAAAGAAATTAGTCTTGAAAGTCATCACTATCAATTGTCAAGGGCAAGTACCCAAGAAAAGAGAATATCTTTGCTGTTATTTTGGTATTACTTGCTTTGTAATTCCATAGCATAAGGTTAAAAAGTTAAGAGAGTAGTGCAAAGTTTACACAATAAAGTGGAGAGTGGGAAAGAACTCATGACTCAAGAGCCATATTTCTGACCACAGGCAGCAAGGGCCCAACCTGAGACTGGCAATGTGAGTAGGATTTAAAGCTTAGTGAGTCATACAGGAATCTGTGCCTTCCTTTCAAGGAGCATATGGATTCCGATGAGGTTGCTACAAAGTCACAAAACTATTAAAAGTACACTTGCTGGACTAACATTCTCAGCACCTGTCACAACCCAGGGTCCAGAGCCTATCAGTTATAGCAGATTCAGATACTCAAAGGCCTTTTCTCAAAGGCTGGACTCAGGAACAGATAAAGCGAGCATTATCCCTCTTTGAGAAAGGAATTAAGTCAGAGGTTTCAAATCCCTCAAAATGGAAATCATCTTCAAGAGTAACTATGAAGCACCTGGGTTCAAAAGTAGTGTATATAGGTAATTGTGGGGGAAACTTTGCCCAAAAGTCCCCCTGTCCACCATGGATGAAAATAAAACTACCAAGACATGATCTGCTTGGGGAGGAGAGGTGGTCGATCTCTCAAAGGAGAAGGACCAAGAGCCCCTTCTTCAACGACTTTTATTAGGCTTGTAACACAGGAATACAAGTAAAGCTCATCAATCAATGTCAGGTGGCAAGGATCAAACAATAGATAGCATTTCAAAGAAATCTAAGGGCTTAATCTGAGTCAGTGTCTGTCAGGTAAGGGGGTTGCAAAAACTTTGGGAGACATACTCGTTTCCTGCTCGGACCCTTATCATATGACTGAAAACACTCTTAGCAAAGCAGGCTTCACAGGACCTTAGGAACTCTTTCTTATGCCCGATCACCCCGGAACCCGCTCTAGCTGGCAAAGAGCTGCACCGCCCTCCCTGTCGTAGGTTTTTAGGCTTAAGTGGATAAGAGCCAGGAAGTGCTTTTCCCAGACAGAAATGGGGACTCAGGTTATGGGGACCCAAAAGGAGCAATAGATAAAGATGTGTGTCAGTTACATGTCTGATGAAAGCTCACTTAGTCCATACCTACAAACAGTGCAGAAAAAATGGCTGAGAAATCCTGATGCCAAGAAAGAAGCTTATAAGCATCTTAAAATGCTAGTGCAGACAAGTCACCTAGAAGTTGGGACAATCGGAGGCTATGACAAGTCTAAGGGCTGATGAAGCAAGGGGACAGAAGGGTTATAACCCAAATCTAAGACCAGAAGTTTGGGTTTTTACCTCCTGTTTAAAACAGAGGACCAGGGTTATTTTATTCAATACCAGGAGAATAGGCAGATATCTGAGGAGATTTTTATCACCCTCAAAGCAAAATTTGCTCTCAGAAGTAGAGGTGAGATGACAAGAATCATGTTGTTGAAAACAATTATAAATCACTTTAAGGGAAGATTAGGATACAGGTTAAGTGGTATAACCAGTGAACTTCTCAAATACAGTGACTCATTAAATAAGCTAGGATTGTATTTCTCTCTCAGGCAACAGTGACTTGGGGGTTAATATAAGGCCATTAGACCTTCAATATGTGGCTTCCATGTTTGGGTCTAGAGTAACAGCTTCAGTGGCAACATTTTTAAGTGAGCAGGTGGAGGAAAAAATCCAGGACTAGTGGCTTTGACCTTGAGGTGATGACCTTTAGGTTACATTCATAACATTCTACTAACAACTCATTGCCAAAACTTCATAAAAAAGTTATAGACCTGGCTATTAAGGGAAAATGAAAACTTTTGTTTATACCTGAATGGCAAGCATTTTTGAAATAGTAGGAATATCTCTGCCCTGAGGATCACAGAAAATGTTGTCTTAGAATGTCAGGTTATAATTTCAATCCTATGAAAGCAGTTGTTTCTTGAGCAGCCCTATGTTTTGTGCTTGACACTAACACTTAAGAAGCAAACATGAATAGTTTATAAACATTTTAAAATACTCTTTGTTAGTATAGTTTCCAATACTAGCCAATGGTACTCTTTTCCCGTTCTCGGACTCTAAAATTATGAACAAAAATCCCCTTCCCTCCACCACCTGCCTTTTTTTCAGATCCATTCTAAGGACAAGTGGGCCATGCTTAATTGGCATATTAATCTGAGTTGCAATCCTGTCTCTTATTTAGTTCATCTTACTGGTGGTATTGCTACAACTGTATGCTGCTTCTCCAAGTCCTCCCTCAATATGCAGTTGTACACCCCTTTTAATTAGATTAGCTTTTATACAAGGATAAATTTACTCATCAGCAATCACTTCTACTTTCCATTTGCCCTATGTGGGTAAGTTAATAAGAGTCAGCAGAGATGGATAGATTTGTATTCTACTAGTAGAAAGAATGGAGTGTAGACAATATGGGCTATAGATGCCCCAGTCTAGATAAAATGAAGTGTGAGCTTTTGAAGATTTTTAATGAGGCCCAAAGGGATACCATTTTGACCTGTATTTATTACATTGGAATGCATACTCTGTGCAATAGCATTTGGTTGAAAGTGTTTCTTATCTGGTTGATTCACTCTAGGCACTAAAAACTTGGTTTAAGCTGCAAGAAACAGAACCAAAACATGGGTAGGAAGAACTGGAATCAAGTGATAGTTTCAAATCATATCAATGAAAGGTTTAATTGGACAAAGGTCAGATTTTAAATATAAGAAAACTTATACTTATTTATTTTTTATTATGATGAGGGCAGGAAAACCTTTAGTCATAAATATTTAACCCTTTTAACATCAGGGAATTTATACTACAATCCAAAACAAAAAATAAGGGTAATTAAACAGATTATTGAGATACAAACATTATTTATTATAAAACAGTGCATACTGAAGACAAATCTTATTATTGTATTGGGATACTAGTTGAAGATTCTGAAAACAATTTCACTTTTAAAAATCCATGTGCACATAAACACTACAGAATACTTTTTTGGTAAACCAGCATCCATCAACTTTCTGTATTCATAGAGAAGAAATAAATTCTTACTTACTCTTTCTCTCATGAAATATATATATACAAAATGTATCATAGGAAACCATGTTTGATTTCAACAAGAGTGACTCCAAGTTAACATTTTCTTTCTGAACTTATCTGTTAGTTCTTCCAATGACTATACTTAACACAATCTTATATATACAGTGAATGACATTAATATTCACATTCAATATGTTTTCATGTATAAGATGAAGTAAGCTAGCCATTCAAGTCTATTCATGGGGTAAAGCATCACTGCATTAGATTAAGCCTTTAATCATATGTAAGAGGTGTCTAATTTTTTTCAAGCTAGGACTTTCATGCCTGGGTATTTATAATAGGTAGCAACACACCACAAAAATATCTATCGTAGATTCACTGCCCCAAGTTTAATGATTGCTTTGCTGACTGCCTCTTTCACATCCTTGTTTCTCAAACTGTAGATCATGGGGTTCAACATAGGGATCACTGTGGTATAAAATACGGCCACTATTTTCCCCTGCTCCACAGATTCTTCAGTAGGCCGCCTAAGATACATGAATATGAGAGTCCCATAAAACAGGGTAACAGCTGTCAAGTGGGACCCACATGTGGAGAATGCCTTCTTCCTTCCATCAGCAGAATGCATGTGTAGCACAGTTACTACAATAAGGGTATAGGAAATGAGGACCACTGAGAGGGAATATGTGAAGTTAATTCCAGCAATCACAATCATTGTGTATTCTTTGATGTGGATGCCCCCACAGGCAATCTTGATGAGAGGAGGGTCTGCACAATAGAAGTGGTTGATTTCAAAGTTTCCGCAGAAGTACAAGCCATATGTCCATAGTGTGCATATTAGACTGACAGAGAATCCGTAGACATAGGGCACAGAAATAAGCCGAACACATACAGCCCTGGACATCTTACTGCTGTAAAGCAAAGGGTTGCAGATGGCCATGTAGCGATCAAAGGCCATCACAGCCAAGACATAGACCTCCACATGGACAAGGGCAATGAAAAAGTAACACTGCACCAGACACCCCACATAGGAAATAGTTTTTGTCTCTGATAGTAAGTTTTCCAGCATTTTGGGGGTGACATTGGAAGAGAACCACACATCCACAAAAGACAAATGACTCAAGAAAAAGTACATGGGGCTCTGAAGCTGGGGACTGATGGTGATCAAAATAATCATACCAATGTTTCCTAACAGAGTGATTATGTAAACTGCTAGGAACACCACAAAAAAGATAACTTGAAGTTCCTGGCGACTGGTCAACCCTAGAAGAATAAATTCTGTCACGTCGGTGAAATTTGGCATTGTCTTCACGTAGACTCAGTTTGTTAAAGGCTATGGAGAAATTAAAAATAAAAAATGGATTTGTTGTATTCTTGAAATTTTGAGTCACATTTATCTTTTTTCTAATTCAAATAGTTTAAAAGTTGATGTGAATTTCTCACAATGTCCAAGATAAGAATATATAGGCATAATTGTTTTCTTTAACAGGTGTTATAAGTAGTTACCATAAATATTTATTAGTTTTCTATCTGTAAAAGAAGAAATTACATTAGTTGCTAATACATATTAAAAATAGACATTAAAAAATAATAAATAAATATAGACATTTATATTTTGCTAGATTATGATACTAATGTTAAAATCACAGGGAACAAATATGACTAAAATCTGACTAAAAGTTGTCAAAGAATGGCTAAATCCTATTCCATATAGACTGATATATATTTTTAAATGTTCTATATTCATATGCACATGGATTTTTTAAAATAAAATTGTAGTCAGAATCTTCAACTACTATCTCAATACACTGGTGTTACAATCTAGTTATTAACATATTTGTCCCACTTAAGCCAGCATATGATATCATAGGTTTTCCAATATGAAATATCTAGTCTTATTTTCTTTTGTTTAGCTAACATTATGCTTGTCTGATTGCCACTCTTTGCAGGGGTGAGGTAAGAGGGACTTAACAGTATAAACTCTCTCAGTTGTACAATTATCTCAGAAAAGTAAACTACAAGTGGTCTAATCACCTAGCACCTACTTTCAAAATTACATCAATAGAGATAAATACCATGGGGTAAAGTTTAAGTAACATGTTTTAATAACTAGTATGTCTTATTTCAGGGAGGCAATCAATTCTATGACTTATTATCCATATCTAAATTTGGTGTCACTGCAAGAAAAAGCTTTTCAAACAACATATTCCTATTTTACTGCACTTCTCCAAAAATTAAACACGCGCTATGAGTTCTCAAGGATCTAAATATAGGATTAGCACAATCTTGAGAATTTAAGCTCTGCATAATAATAGTACTTAAAAGGTGTATTGTTGAACTATAAATGGGCCTGTTTGCAATCGCTTACATTAATTTATTTTACAAATATTAAAGCTAATTACATGTCAAATATATTTGTTGCATTTTCAAGTAATCTAAATTACTTGCAGATGAAAATATGAGGGTGAACAAAACAGATAAAATTCTGCATTGCATTATATTTTATTCTTATTGAGAATGTATAAGTAATAAATATACAAGTAAGATAATCTAAGGATGGAATTGCTGTGACAGAAGTATAACTTGCTAATAAGATAAGACAAATCATGAGCATGGACAATGGGGGGAACTGACTTTTGGAAGCTAGGTGGGACAGGTCAGGGGAGAGCAATGGGGGAAAAGGCATGACAACTTTAACTGAACAACAATAAATAAATTTTAAAAAGAAACATGCTCATTTCTGAATATTGACTTTGTATCCCTCCCATTTTGCCAAATTCACTTATTAGGTCGAGTACTTTTTTGGTAGAGTCTACTGGTTTTCTATGTACACTATCATGTCATCTGCAAACAATGACAATTTTGCTTCTTCTTTCCAACTGGGATGCCTTTTATTTCTTTTTCTTGTCTGATCACTGTGGCTTGGACTTCCAATACTATGTTGAATAAAAGTGGTGAAAGCAGACATCCTTGTCTTGTTCCTGATCTTAGTGAGAAAGCTTTTAGTTTTGCCCATTGAGTATGATGTTGACTCCAAGTTTCTTGTATATGATCATTATTATGTTGAGGAAAGATCCCTCTACTACCACTTTGCTGAGTGTTTTTATCATAAATGGGTGCTGTTTCTTATCAAATGCTTTTTTCTGCATCTGTTGATATGATCATGTGATTTTTGTCTTTCCTTTTGTTTATGTGATGTACTATGTTTATTGATTTGTGGATACTGTACCATCCTTGCATTTCTGGGATGCATCCCACTTGATCATAGAGTATGATCTATTTATGTATTGCTGGATGAAGTTGCCAATATTTTTTGAGAATTTTAGCATCTATGCTCATTAGCAATGTTGGCTTATAGTTTTATTTCTTTGTTGTGCCTTTAGCTGGTTTTGGGATTAGGATGATGCTGGCCTCATAAAAAGAGTTTGGGAGTTTTCCCTCTTGGATTTTCTGGAATAGTCTGAGAAGGATAAGGATTAGCTCTACCTAAATGTTTTGTAAAATTCTCCTGTGCAACCATCTTGTCCAGGGCTCTTGTGTAACGGGAGTTTTTTGATTACTGCTTCAATTTCACCAGATGTTATTGGTCTGTTCAGGCTTTCTGCTTTGTCTTCATTAAGTTTTGGAATATTACATTTTTCTAGAAATTTGTTGATTTTATACCAACAATGAAAGATTATAAACAAAAACCAGTAAATAATCCTATTTTCTATAGCAACAAAAAAATGAAGTACCTAGGAATAAACCTAACCAGGAAGTAAATGACCTATATTCAGAGCACTAAACAAAACTGAAGTAAGGAATTATGCAAGATACAAACAAATGAAAGCATATACATATTCATATATTGAAACAATTAACATCATCAAAATATCCGTGCTACCCAAAGAAGTTTATAGATTCAACACAATCCCTATTAAAATACCAATGACATATTTCACAGATATAGAACAAACATTTCAAAAATGTGTATGGAATCATAAATGACTCTCCATAGCTTCAGCAATTTTGAGAAAGAACAATATAGAAGGGATCATAATACCTGATTAAAAACTATATTACAAGGCCACAGTAATTAAAACAGTTTGGTACTGACATAAACATAGACCAATGGAACAGAATAGAGAGCCCAGAAATAAACCCATGTCTCTATGCTTAATTAATATTCAACAAAGGGGGCAGAGGTGTAAAATGGAGTAAAAATAGCCTCTTCAATAAATGGTGTTGGAAGATCTGGACAGCTACATGCAACAAAATAAAACTTGACCACCAACTTACACCATACACAAAAATAAACTCAAGATATTGAAAAAACTTAAATATAAGTCATAAAACCATAAAAGTCCTAGAGGAAAACATAAGCAGGAAAATCTCAGACATTCCACATAGCAATATTTTCACCGATATGTCCCCTAGAGCAAGGGACATAAAGGAAAGAATAAATAAATGGGACTTCATCAACTTAAAAAGCTTCTGCACAGCTAAAGAAAACAATACCAAAGTGAAATGGAGCCAACTGTGTGGAAATATATTTGCCAACAATACCTTGGACAAGTGTTTGATCTCCAAAATATATAAAGAACTCACATGACTCCACACCAGGAAGACAAACAATCCAATTAAAAAAATGAGCAAAGGACCTAAACTGACACTTCTCCAAGGAGGACATATAGAGAGCCCAGAGACATATGAAAGGATGCTCAGCATAACTAGCTATCAGAGAGATGCAAATTAAAACCACAATGAGACACTCCTTCACACCAGTAAGAACAGCCAACATAAAAAAATCAACAAACAACAAGTGCTGGCAAGGTTGTGGAAAAAAGGGAACTGTAGTGCACTTTAGGTGGGAATGTAAACTGGGGCAGCCACTGTGGAAAATATTACAAAATTTCCTCAAAAAACTAAAAATAAAGCTGCCTTTTGGCCTGGCAATTCCATTGATACGATTATACACTATGAATCCTAAAACACCAATTCAAATGAATCTATGCACCCCAATGTTTATAGCAACATTATTTACAATAGCCAAGTGCTGGAAATAGTCTAAGTACCCATCAGTAAATGAGTAGATCAAAAACTGTGGTACATTTACACAATGGAAAACTACGCAGCAGAAAGAAGAAAAAAACTTCTACCCTTTGCAACAGCATGGATGGAACTGGAGAGCATTATGCCAAGTGAAATAAACCAGGTGGTAAGGGACAAATACCATATGATCTCACCTTTAAATGAAACCTAATCAACAAAACAAATAAGCAATCAAAATATAACCAGAGACATTGAAATAAACGACAGTAACCAGAGGGGAGTGGGGAAGGGGAATAACAAGGGAGAGAAGGGGAAGGGTCATCAAGGAACGTATGTAAAGGACACATGGACAAAGCCAAAGGGGGTTAGGATTGAAGGTGGGAAGTGCGGGTGAGTGGGGCAAGGGAGAATCATGGGGGCAAAATGGAGACAACTGTACTTGAACAACAATAAAAAATAATAAGTAAATACATTGAAAAAATAAAAATTCCCCAAAAATGAAGAAGCACACTAAAAGTAAGCAAGGCATGTAGAGCCTACAGACTGATGAGCAATCTAAAGCTTCTGAAAAGAAACAGAAAAGTACATGTATAACATTCTTTTAAAATGCTAAGAAATAAGGGGAGGCGGAGTACAGACAGACTGGTCAAAATGATCTCGCTGAGGAGGTGACCACTGAGTCAGTGAGAAGTAGCCAGCTGTGTAGAAATATGACGGAAGCAGTGGATGAAAATGCAAAAGCTCAGAAGAGGAAATGTTAGCCTGGCATGTTGACAAAGAGTGTTGCTAGGGGCACTCCTTTATGTATTAAAAAGCGCATGAATTCTATGATGATATCATGGCACCTTCAATTATTAGCAGGGCCCACTGAGAAGTTAATTCATCTCAATAAACTGTTTTCTTACCCCTGAAATGCTTAATACATAAATTATATATCTCATTCATAAAATGAACTGGGCACATTACACACTAGGCACTGCAGTCTCGGTTCTGATCTGTTTCCCCTTCCTGGAGAGTTCCATGATTGTATCTCATCTGGTTTGCTCTTTGTAAGTATGGAAATGCTTAGGCAGATGAGAGCTAAGGTCAGGGATTCTTCTGTGTGAACATTCCTGACTTCACTGGAGGAGCCCATTATTCTCTAAAGAACAGAGTTCCAGTGTGGTTATCTTTAATAACCTTATATTGCTACCTCTCTGATAACCTATTGTTCTATTTTTACACATTTTAAATTTAGTTTGATTATCCTCCAAGACTGAATAAATCTATCTT